AAATGTTTGTATGCTTCTAAAATTATTTCAATATGTTGAAATAAACCACTACTTTGCTCTGGGAACTTATTACCTAAAATACTTCCAAAAATACAAAAGGCCTGTAGCCAATTATTAAAAGTGCGACCCACCGGTCTGCGTCTGTCATCATCTTTATCTGATCTAACAAAATCTTTTGCTGATGGCAACAATGACAAAATGTCAATAAATTCACCTTTTGTGATCTTATCTTTCAATGAAGATGACAGATGCATACCTATAGGTGACATCTCACAAGGTAACGGAGACCTAAAAGAAGTTTCAGGTATATTAGAAGAAGAAAAAACATCAGAAGAAATCACAGACTTAGAAACAGGTGGAGATACAACTCTATTAACATTACTTGAAATATCCTCTGACGGAGCCCATACCATTGTAGCTGGTGAGGAGACAGTAAATGTATCTGCAATTCTGGAGAGAGAAGCAATTAAGTTAGTTAACACAGCGGTTTGATTAAACTCACCCCCAGAACTATCACCGGATATAGGCTGCTGTGCATCCCCACCGACCACCGGAATTGGCTGAACATTTACTTGTAATGAAGAATCCTGTAGAATATTTGAAGCTGCAGGAGGATGCAGTGCTTGAAAGCCCCCTGCTGTGACATCTTGTATAGCAGCTGCGGCTGTGTAGCTGTCCTGTATTGGGTAGCGGCTGACAGCTATGCCCTCTGACCTTGGCCTCGGACCGGCCCTCAAGCCCCTCTCACCTCCCGCCTCAGGCTGTCCCTGTATATGTGCTGGGTGTGCTCATCGCCTAAGGGGTGCTCGTTGTCTAGGGGAAGTGGGTCCCTTCAACCTCCGCCCTCCGGAAAGTCTATCCGATGAAGGCGAGAAAGGCCGCCTTCATTTGCGCATGCGCTTACCCGCTCCGCCTCTTCCTCTGACAACTCCTCCGTCTGCTTCATTCCGGCCGGCGTCTTCATGTTGTTCGGGCGCATTCGTCTGTCCCGGATCTCGCGACAGTACCGCAACGTGCCCGCGACGTTCTGGCGGATGGCTTCTGCGTGGGGGACATCTGAGGCGTACACTCCGCTCTTCTTCTCTGACATCATCTGTGACCTGGCCGTCTTCCATCGGTTCCGGGAGGGCAGGATGCTGAATATCTTCAGCTGCCTCCAGGCAGCGACGCAGCCAGTCTTCTCCTCCGGCGGCTTCAGCCCTTTCCAGGACCCGGCGAACGATAGTCTTCATAGCTTGATTCCAACGCAGCAAACTCAGGTATAAACAACACTGACGAGCTTGCTGTGTTGAAGTCCAGCCGAGTGACTATTCCTCTCACGACCTTTCCTTTTATAGGCAGTGCCCTGGAACCTTCCAGAAGCCCACGAGCGGAGGATTTCCCGCCGAAAAACTCGCAGGTGAGTCTTAAAGTGGAAACGCACCTAAATTTTTTGAGGTAATTCAAATATATACCTTTATTTATAAAAAAAACAGAAACAGCAGGGAAAGGAGAGGGGGACCGCCGCAACTCCATGAAAGTGGGAGCCCAAATAAATTGGGGCCCACTTAAACATTATCTGTTAAGTAAATGTTATTTATCATTCCTTTTGTTCCTTGTGAGTGTTTCTGTGTGTGTGTGTGTGTGTTATTTCACTGGTACTATGTCGAGACACATAAATCTCATATAAAATCAGTTTTCTTTGGGTCATTGCAAATTAACTTCAGATGAACGGTGTCTGGCAATTGAATCTGATCAATGAATGAAGAGTCTAAACGCCAAGCACTAAAAGGGGGTTTAGAAAATGTATAAAGTCATAATCAGACCTGACACTGAGGTGTATCTAAAGCCAAAACATTTTTTTTTTTTTTGAATGCGGAAGGGTTAAAACCGCAAAGGAAAGGGTTAAAATTCCTATCAGGTTATTTATCAAGTCCGGTCTTGTTGGGGAGATGTAGCTTCATTTCCTCTCCAGGAGACACAACAAGAAGCGAGAAGAAATCCCCTCCTCGATAGTTATCCCCTGACATTGTGAAATATTTCCCATCATGTGTACCCATTTGTACCCATTCACTAAAACGTTAAATATGATTATGATCCCTTATATTATGGAATACAATCTCAATACAAATAGTAAACTAAATGTGAGATTGTAGTCCATCCTGGGAGTGAGCTTGGAGCAGTGGCTACTTTACAACACACACAGGGATAATGGAGAGCAAAAGTAGTCACCCTCTAGAAGGAAGGACGGACAGTGTCAGCACCAATTTAGAGATGATTTGAGGATCTACAGCCGAGTGATATACAAATACTTGAGTGCATTTTTTATAATTAACTCCTGAGTTTAGTGTCACTTTCAATAAAAAGGTTTTGGCTTTACATGCATCCTAATTAACTGGAATAGAGCATCCCAATTGTAAAAGTGCACTACTAAAAACTATATTTTTCAAAAAACCCAATAGACCCTTATTCGTGCTATAGTAGGTGCAGTATAAAAACATGGCCATTTTTGTCCTCAGATTCTACCCTTTGACAAGCTTTTTTTTAATTATTTTAGGTGATGGGGGAAATGATAGATGTCATTGGATCATTCTGAGTGTATTGGGGCCCCTTTCTCACGCTTGCAACTGGCTTGCTTTGTGGATGTCATCATTAACCAATGCACCAGGCTATCTGTAGTGTGGCCCAATTATTTTTAAATTAAAAAAAAACACACTGCAAAACTAAGAAGGCCAGCTTGGTTTCATTGGCAGAAGATATTTGCAGGTATCTGTGTTGCCCGAATTTGCTGGATTAGTCCACACATAGGGGGTTATTCACAAAGCTGCCAAAGACAGCCGAGTGAATAACCAAGCCGAAGTGAAGTGAGCTGAATGCTGTTTGGCTATTAACTTCTGGCTTGTACAGCTGATTTCCGCCCTAACATCAGCTAAAATCAGCCGTACATCTGCTGCCTTCAGTCAGTTGGCTGAGCTGAAGTCCAGAAGGACTTCCACTCAGCCAATCCACCATCTGGATCAGCTGAGCCGAAGCTCCGGCAGCTCACTCGCTGCCGTTCGCTCCTATTCCCATAGGGGTCGAACGGCAGTGAGGGAATAGCCGAATGCCGCCGAGCGGCATTCGGCTTGGCTATTCTGCTCGGTACCTCCGAAGTACCATGCAGTATAGAAAAGAAGTGTAAAGAATGTGAAAATAAAAAGTTGCAAAATGATTTTAAAAATGATAAAAATTAAGAAAACTTTAAAAAAACATTTTAAAGAAAATAAATAAATAGTAAAAAAAAATGGGCTGAGCTAGCTCCACCCAACTGTTTCCTATTGCCCGGCACCTGCTAGAGTCCTCTAGCAAGTGCCGGCCAATGAATAATAACTGGAGCGGGTTCTTCCCACTTCGGCTGTCACTTCGGCTCAGTTGAGCCGAAGCATATGCCTTCGACTCGGCTGAGCCGCTCGGCCGCCTTCGGCTGAAGTACAGGCTATTGTGAATAGACCGTACAGCAGCCCTTCGGTTTCTACTGAACTAACGGGCTCCGACGGGCGAATAAAGCTGAAGGATTAGCCAAAGCTATGGCTGGATCCTTTGGCTCTTTAGTGAATAACCTCCTTATTGATTTATCTTGCATAATAATGTCTGTGCAGAGATCAGCATGACATAGTGGGGTTGAGCTGCTAAAGTAAAATAGGCTTTTCACTTTGCAAGTGAATTTTCCCTTATCTTAGTGAATGAGGTTGAGGTTACATTTCATGTCGCAAAGAACACCCTGGCATGTGCAAGGGAAAATTCCCTTGCAAAGTGAAAATGTACTTGCAACATGAACAGCCTATTTTCCTTTTATATATGTTTAAAACACTTTTGTAAATGCATATACATTCATCTTATGATTTCCATTGGATCTATTTACACATTGCATTTAGATGCTTTTATATGCAGTCAGTTTATCTGCGTTCTCAAAAAATAGAAGTCAGGTGCATCTAAGGGGGTTATTCACTAAGGTGCTGAAGGCAGGCGAGTGAATAACCGAGCCAAAGTGAAGTCAGCCGAATGCCGTTCGGCTATTCACTTCAGCCCTGTACGGCTGATTTCAGCTGTACATCAGCTAAAATCAGCCGTACATCAGCTGGCTTCGGTTCAGCCAAAGTGAAGAAGCCCTTCGACTCAGCCGATCCAACATCTGGCTGATCATCCTATTCTCATAGTGGCCGAACTGCAGGGAGTGAATAGCCGAGTGACGGCGTGGGGTCCCCTTTCTTATCTATACCAGACCCTTTGGTCTTGTAGGAAGGTTAGGAGGGGCCCCAAGTTAACAATTAAGAAAAAATTATGTGCAGGGTCCCCCCCCCCAAATAGGGGGGGCAAGCAAACGCCCCCTCCCCCCGCCACACCAGGCCACATGCCATAGGAACAAGAGCATTTTCCACACAAGCCCTGTGGGGGTTGGCAGGCAGGGGGCCTTCTTTACATTGGGGTACCCCCTTTAATAAAGGAGGCACCCAGATGCCCCCCCCCCCTTGTGAATGAGTAAGGGGTACTTGTACCCATTCACTAAAACGTTAAATAAAGTGTAAAAAAAAAAAACAACAACTAAAATATTTGACAATTGCTTTATTAAAAAGCAAAGAAAAACTAGGATTTTTTTTCTAGGATTTGGTACTAGATGTTTTGCTTGGATTTGGTACCAGATGCATCTAAACACAATATGCATATAAACACACATAACACACTTCATTTAAAGCGTCTAGAAGCATGAACACAGCATCTAGCCTGACAGATTTTGCTTTGCATATAGAGGACATAGATGCAAGTGAGAAGTTTGAATGTAGCTTCAATCAATCCCTATATGTTTAGTATGAATTGCAACAGATAAATAATAAGCAGAGAACATGTTAAAGCGAGTTGTTTTATTAATCACTGTCAGTGAGGTATAAATTCTGTTCCTGTTCTGGCCCCCTCCTTAACAAATTTGCATAAAAGAAAACACACCCTTCATAATGAATGGCTTTTAGCTGGAATCCAGAGAGCACTGGTCCAGTCTTGTCATTCACCATGAAGACGCTGGTGGTTCTCCTGTTCCTCTCTCTTATTGGAGGCATTCTGGCTTTTGATACTTGTTCTAGTGAAAGTAAGTGTTACTGTATTCTATATGAATTCTCAGTATGTCATTATTTTGTTAGATTCGTTAACTAAGGCATACAGCACAACGACCTGTTCAGATGTACATATCTTGCTTTGATGTGCAGTGTGCTGCAGTACTAAATTGGCAGATTAAACACTGTTTAAATAAATGAATCCTAAACTTACAATTCTGTACATACTGTTATACAACGTAACAACAGTCGGTTTATATATTGGTATGTCTTTAATAACGACAAATATATTTGAGTGTCTTAAATAAGGGCAGATTATAATGTTGTTAGTATGCAATTTTGGACTATACATTTCTATGATAAAGGGTAACTTTGCAACATATCATATTTTTACTATTCATTTTGTACTGCACTGGGAAGTCGAAACAAGTAATATGGTTAATTACAGTGGTGCTACAATTTTCTGTGATCCAGTTTACATGAGCCTATATGTAGATAACATGTGCTTTACCCTTTAAACTTACTTTGAGGATTAGAAGCTCATGCAGGAGCAATTGCGCACTGAACCTTATGTTAATAACCCTTATTTGCAAACTTAAATGCACATAGTTCAAAAGAATGCAAAACTGACCAATGACTGACAAGACAAAGTGTAACTCCGCCATATAGACAAAAATAAGAATTACAAGTAGGTAAATATTATAAAGAAAGGCATTAATGCATGTAAAATGGTTTCTGCTTGGAGCTGGAAAGCAGATTTAAAAACAGCCTTTCTCTCTATTAGGGTTTCTTTAAAGCCTCAGTAGCAACATCTCCTCCCATTAACATTCTCATTTAGGAAAAGAGAAATGTGAATTACTGATGGTGTACTGATCTTATGCCCTACATGATGTCACTACCTTCATAGAAACAGGGCGTTCTCAATATCTCCAGAATTACATTTTGTTAGGGTCCGATGCTTGCATGTAGAAGGATTCTTTTTTTAAATAGCTTAAATATTAAAATTGCTTCAATTTAAGTATTTTGGTAAAAAGAAACTAACTTATAATGTTCTTAAAAATAATACAAAATGTATACATGGTATAGTGAAGAGGTTTATATAAAAAATTACAGTGTATGTTAATCCAAAAAAGATTTTCTTTAATAGGCAAAAGCTTCCCTTTTAAAACAGAGGCTTCTTTCCTGCTTTAAGCTTTACTGTAGCCTGACTTCAAGGCTCAAAGCACTAATTAAACATCAATAACCTGTACAGTCAGATTTGGAATACAAAGAACTAGTTTAAAGAAAGGTGTAATGCCTCTGTCATCATTGTAGCTATAAATCAACTTACATAAATATTTCAAGTGCTCACAAAGCTAGCTAGGTTTAAGATAATTGCTACAGGATTTTTATAAGTTTATGGACATTTGTGTGGCAAGCAGAAAAAGTATATTATAATAATGTCTGTTATCTCTCAGTTTCTGAGTTTCAGTCAATGATATAAGACTATAGATGATAATGTATATTTCACATACACTCTAACAGGCTAATTTAATTTTAAAAGTTGTTTATAATCTTTTTTAAATACGCAACGTTCAGTAAAAGAATACTTTCTGATCCTGCCATGAAGGTACTTGTTCAGGCATTTCTTGAAATGGGGTGACTGTCACCCAACTGTGCTCCTGTGTTGTCCCATGTGCCACTAGTAGACTATAGTACCCATGCTGACCCATATTGCACAGGCTTGGTCCACTGTTATCACTATAAGGAAGCCGGTCCAGAGCAATAATGTGCATCCAACACTGGAGAGCATGGATGAGAATTTGGCCAGAAAGTGGCTGAAAGTGGCTGCAGACTATTAGCCACATCGAAATGCAAAAAATAATGGAAAAGATGATGATGATGAGATCACGTCCGGCTCCGCCAAGTTGTTATTCATTGGCCAGGACCTGCTAGAGAACTCTAGCAGGTCCCGGCCAATGGGAAACAGTTGGGCGAAGTTGCTGTCACTGCTAGCTCCGCCTATTTGTTTCTTTCTTTTTTTATTTGTTTTTTTATTTATTCAATAATCTTTTTTTTTCTTCAATGAACTTTAATGTTTGGGGTTTTTTCTCAATTATCTTTTTTTTTCTTTTTTTTTAGATCTTTATTAATTTTTTAGGAGTTATCATTTATTCACCTTTTGTAAACATTTGTTTTCTTTTGTACCACCTTTTGTAAACGTTTCTTTTTTTTTCTACTTTTTGCGCTGATTTTCTATTCTGCTGGGTACCATGGAGGTACAGCCGATCCGGCATTCGGCTATTCGGCTATTCACTCACTGCTGTGAGAATAGGCCGAACGGCAGCGAGTAGCCTGCCGGAGGTTCGGCTCAGCCGATCAAGATGTTGAATCGGCTGAGTAAAACTTCTTATGCACTTCGGCTCAGCCGAACATGTAGAAGGAGTCAGCCGTACTCAGGCTCAGCAGTACAAGCATGAAGTGAATAGCTGAACAGCATTAGGCTCGCTTCGGGTCGGTTATTCAATTGGCTGCCTTCGGACGTGAATGTTCTCGTGTACAGTTGAAGCTGGATGAAATTCACTTTAGAGACCTTGATAATACAAATATACTGAACACAAACATACTACCATTAAATGCAAAATTCTTAAATGCTTTTTCTTTTCGTAGGATGTGAAGATTCGTGCAAGAATCGTTGTGGACACAAACCCAACAAAAAGTACACATGTCAGTGCAATGAGCCCTGTGAAAAGTTTGGGGACTGCTGCACAGATTACTCCATGTGTAAATGTAAGAAAAAAGCTGATGCAAGTGAATATTTAGATGTGTCAATACCAACACTTATGCTGACACAAGAAACATTCTTGGATGCTCCCTTAATAATTTAAGAGCTGGAATTAGCTGATGTGCCCTTTAATAATAAAGTACCTGGCACTGTGGTCTTATTAGGATTCTAAAAAGATTTGATAAATGTAGTAGGCCATCTGCTTTGATCAACTTCCAACAAAGCGAATTCACAGGATTTACCATGTGAAAGAGTGCTGGTATTTGTGAGTGACCCACAGAAATGTCCTTTGCAAATAAAACTACAAGTGTTCTTTCACTTGGTAAGTCCTGTAAGGTGGCTCCTAGTTCTGCTTTCTCCAAGCTGCACCAAGACTACATTTTCTAGTCACACACATTCACTGAAGTCTAAACAGTCAGTTTCTAATAAATTGGGATGAAAGGCTTCAATGAGATTCACAAGGATTTATTGCAGAATGAGTTATGTAATTAGCAACTAAAGAAAAATAATTATATCTTATACTCTGTAGCCTTATACTGCCATATTCATTGCAATACTTATTTGTCACAGAATGGCATGCTATGTAATCATTTATATTTGTGAGATATTTGCTCTCGTTATTGGCTTTATGGAAATACTTTTCGCTATTCGTTTACATGTGCAGGCTTCTTAAGAATTTTTGCTTTGAATGCGAAAACCTGACTATCCAGTTTTTGTGCTTTGAACTGTGTAAAAGTTGCAGATGGTGCAATCTTGGAATATAATGTTAACAACATCAACCCATAGCTTATCAAAAAACTTTACAGCCCGTTCAGATCAATAAGGGGAGCTGGTTAAAGCACAGCAACGCACTGTTGAGATCTGAATTGGCTTATAATGTCTTGATAATGCTTTTGAGCTGCTGATTTTTCATAAAATTAGGTTTCATTCAATAAACATAGTTACTCTACTAATATCTCAAATAACTGATATCAAAAATACGGGATGTGAAAGAAATGTTAGTCTGTACAGAAGGAAAGATCAACAAGTACATGATAAATACACCAATAGCTCAAGTCTCCTGGAACAATTGCACACTTTGGTCCCTTAAAGTTAAATCTTAGCCCATTGCATTATTCATAAAAAATTGAGACTCACCCAACTTCCTCTGTAGAAACTCATTTGTATTTCCTTGTCCAAACACTGATGTGGGAGCAGTTAATTGGGCAAGTTAAAAATAGCTCTAATTACTATTGTTCGACCCATGTTAAGTGGTGCCAGTAGCATGTTGCTCATCTTCTCCCTTATCTCACCATCCTCACCATTATGTGTCCTTCATATCATGCCACCTGGGAGCATACCCCTTTATTGATAGAGACGTTACAAATGTTTATCAGTAAATAATTGCAGCTCTCAATGTGTTGTGCATTAAAGGGATTATTTTATGGCCAGGCCTCAAAAAATGGAATGAATTAAAGAATATATGTATAGTAAGCACATATCAGCAGTCCTAAATTGCCATACAGTAATTGGTAACTATACAGTTCTAAAACAATCCCTGATTTAATTTTTTATGGTTTTTCGTTTATTTATTTTATTTATTTTATTTTTTTTATAGATATTGATCCAGAATTTAATGAGGCATCTCACCATACAAAATCAGGTAATATATGTTTAAAATTGAGTTTTAACAATTTTAATTTGCACTAACCATCAAAACACAGTGTACTTTACAAAGCCTGTAGCATTAAGAGATTACAAAGGTCTAAGTAAACAGATGTAGATAGGAGTTGTTTCCTTACCTGGGACCTTAGAAGAGTTTGCCAGTGTAGGTTCCCTGTCCTAGGCGACAGTGTCTTGTTTGGTTCTGTGTTTCTTCGAAGCAGTTAAGCTGTAGTAATTCTGTGTTAAAGTTTCTAAGTTTAGGGTATTGATTGCTTCTGCCATCCACTGATGAGTATTCTCCAGTAGTATGCGTCAGTTTACATCAGATTACTCTCGATCTTATTTATTAAGGTATTCACCATGTTGCAATTTCTGCACTAAAATTTTAATACCTTAAAAAACTGATATGGAAAATGATGAGATTAAATTACATAAAATAAGTGTAAAAAAAAAAGTACAACAATCAGTAAAAAACCTGCAACAATGTAAGAAATAACCTGATGACACCATTTTACAAGTCTGCAGCTTCTGCTTATTAAACAAGTTAGAGCAGGCAGAACTCTTGGGAATATATTTATCAAAAAAATGGCTTTAAAATTACATAAATAGATACTGTCCAGAAAAATCATATCCTGGTTATCCTCTACACAGACAAAAAAAGTTTGCCATCCACAAAGCAGCTTAAAATGCCACAACCTAAAAATAACATGACACTGAACGGTGAAATAGTAAAAGAAAACCTATAATGAGAAAATATGTAGACTGATATGACTCAACTCTCCTTTTATAATTGCTAGATTCCTGACTGCTACATTGAGTCTATGACCTTAACACTTTTTAAAGTAACCCATTAGGATTACTAATTTGCGACTTACTTCACGGCTATGGTGGGTCAGTGGCTCAGAATGTATTGCAGTCAAGCAAGCAGCATTTTCAAAATGAAGTTGACAAGGGTATGTCATACCTAAATACATCTCCTTTGACTTTCTTCCACACAGATACAACCTGTGAGGGAAGATGTGGTGAGAAATATAACAAGAAACATACCTGCCATTGCAATAAAAAATGCGCTAAATTCAATAACTGCTGTACTAACTATGATGAACTATGCAGTGGAGGTACCAGCAGCACTAACAAGGATAAAAAAGGAACAACCAGTTCTGGCAGCAGTCCCCACAGAGGTGTGTAGAGTCACCAGAGACTCCAGAGCTTCTTTACATGTTAAGTGGTGGTGGGTGAAATTATGCTGCCCTAGGCTAGGTTCACACCTAGGCGATTCAGATGCTGAGCTGTTTTCGCACGGTTGTCGCGCAATTTTCAAACACTGTTCATTGTAAACCGCGAAATTGTCGTGCGGTTTTCAATGCATAGAGGTGTCTATGGGACCCAAACCGTACGACAACTGCCCAAAAATTGCTCCTGCAGCTTTTTTCGCGCCACAGTCGATTTTGGTCGAGCAACAAACCGCAAAGTTGTGAACAGCCTCCATTGACTTCAATACGAATCTGTGTTTTGCGCAATCTCTCGCAACTCAAACTGCGCGATAAATTGCCTAGGTGTGCACCGTCCCTTAATTTCCTTCTCTGTAAACTTTGCATAATACTGTTAGAGCACTGTGGGTGCCACCAACTTGGATTTCTCTAGAAGAGCCCTGATTGCTGTATTATAGCAGCCCTGTATACACATGCTCTCCTGTCACAGCCTCTGTATACATTACACAGATTGTTAAAATGGCTGGAGATTGGAAGTAAGCTAAAATGGAAAGGCAGCAGTGTCATGGATGGGAGGGGGATGATCAGGGAAGGCAGGACAGCCTGAGAAAGTGGCTTGGGTCTACCTTGCTCTAGGTGTAAAGTTTCACAAATAATTACTGCACATTGTCTGCAGCAATTGGGTCAGGGGGAGCATATTGTAAAGGAAATGCAATAACTAATATGCAAATGTAATT